GCTGTGAGTGTGCAGACATTGTAAGGTTACGTAGATGTAGCTCACGGCTGTGAGTGTGCAGACATTGTAAGGTTATATAGATGTAGCTCACGGCTGTGAGTGTGCAGACATTGTAAGGTTATATAGATGTAACTCACAGCTGTGAGTGTGCAGACATTGTAAGGTTATATAGATGTAGCTCACAGCGGTGAGTGTGCAGACATTGTAAGGTTACGTAGATGTAGCTCACAGCTGTGAGTGTGCAGACATTGTAAGGTTATGTAGATGTAACTCACGGCTGTGAGTGTGCAGACATTGTAAGGTTACGTAGATGTAGCTCACAGCTGTGAGTGTGCTGACATTGTAAGCTGTAGATGTAGCTAGGCTGTGTATGTGTGTGTGTGTGCGTGCGTGCGGTGTGTGTGCACGTATGTGCGCGCGTGTGTGTGTGCGTGTGCAAACATTGTAATGCTACACATAGTTGCGCATTGTTACACGTAAGTGCAAGCATCGCAACGTTACATACATGAGCAAAGTTTCTCGGGACAAACAGCATAGCATCTCAAAGTAAAAATCGGTAACTCACCTACACAATCTACAACGATTTACCTACCTTACACAAATAAATGTTAGCGAATATGAGATAGAAAAATTATATAATAGAATAAACGGTGCACACACGGTCATTAGATGTAGTGAAACCTGCTTAGATCTGAACACATAAAAAACAATGGAACAGTTGATTTACCGACGGCACTGTGCGCGAGGATCTGCATCGCTAGCGTCGGCTCTCCCTGAACGGTGGCCATGACACCCGCCACACTGTCCGAATCGTCTAATGCAACGTAGATCTTCTGCAATTAAATTGCAATAGAGTGCCAAAATTTTAGCAAGATGTGTAGCATCAAGGAATAGTTTGTAAGAGAAACAAACAGCCTACAAAGCCTACGTTTTTTGGAGAAAATGGGGTACGATCGAGTGGGAAAAGTTTAAGAATCGAGGAAAAAGGGAGATAGCTGACAACTTAACATCGATCGATAAACCTGCACGCATGCACACTGCCGCATCGCACGCACGACAAACCTAAACATCTTCAAATTCGCACTCAAATCTACTTACATTACAGCAGGGAATTAACGTTTTTACCAGGAGCAAGTACTTGCTGCCAGAGAAAAAGGCTGGCAGCAGATTTACTCACTCGGGTAGAATCTTTGGCGCCTTTACTACAATTTATTCGGATATTATTATTAGAATTTCTTGACAGCGAGTATTTGCTGCCGACATTAATAGCAGACAGCAAACTGACCATTACAGGCAGAAAAAACCACTACACGCCGCCCTCCATTTCGAAACCCGATTACACATTCATTTTATACGGGCCTTTTGGTTCCGTTTACAGCACGGGCGTTTGCTGGTATCGGTGCGGCAGAGGCCAACCAGTAGCACCCACATAGTAGC